CTTCGCTAGATATGCTGGGTATTGTTAGTGATGTAGGATTTGCACTTCATGTTCTATTTTCTTCAACAAATTTCGTCTATGTGCCTTTTGCCATAATTTACTTCATAAATAGTGTGTATCGAGAAAACGATGATCATGCCCCTTTTATAAAATATGTCAATAAAGAAATAGTTGCAATTTTAATGGGTTGCATAGGCCAGATTCCAGCATTATGGGTTCTTTTGAAGATATTAGATTCTAAATCAAAAAATAAAAAAACTTCAAAAATTACTATTGATACCCAAGATGAGGGCGACGATGATGTAAAAACTGAGCGGATAAAAGTAAATAATATTGTCAACGATCAAGTGGATTGGCCAGTAATAGTTGTTCAGGTATTCAGTGCGTAAAAAATCTCAATTATCATTTCAATTTCAAGCTTTATTTTTGGATTTTTTAACTATTTAGAATTTAAAAAAAGAGTTCACAACTCAAAATGTGAGTTCAAGTATAAATTGTCTAATAAAAAAAAAAGGTACAAATACAAATAATGAGAGAAAACTTGCAATCCGAAATCTATCATTAGCTGTAAATTCAGGCGAAGTTCTTGGATTGCTAGGTCATAATGGTGCTGGTAAAACTACAACTATGCGTATTATCACAATGGAAGAAAAAGAATCAACAGGAAAAGTTTGTAAAGCACTTAACACTCAAAACCTATTAAATTTTAAAATATGTGGTACATTATTAAAAATTTTAATATATTTTTTAACTGTCTTATATTTAAGATATTTATTAAAGGACATGATATTCAAGAATCTGTAGATATTGCATACAGAATGATTGGATATTGTCCTCAACATGATGCCTTATGGAGTTCATTAACTATTAGAGAACACTTACAGGTATATGGTGCTATTCGAGGAATATCAAAAGATCAAATTAAAAAGTAAATTATTATTAAAGTTGTTTTAAAAATAAAAATCTATTAACATTATATTAAATAGTACTAAATACTATAAATAGTGCAACTTAAAAACTGTTATTTCAAATATTTAGTTATTTTTATAACTTTTAAAAATCATGTTTCATTTTTTATAGTATCGTTGAGAAATATATTGAGGGCCTTCAAATAACTGAACATGCGGATAAACAGGTCAGTTGTTGTTCAGGTGGAACAAAACGAAAATTAAGTTTTGCTTTAGCAATGATTGGAAACCCTAAACTGGTATTGCTGGACGAGCCTAGTACTGGTATGGATCCAAGGTCAAAGAGATATTTATGGGATGCTATAATTAGCAGTTTTCAAGGATCTAAAGGTGCAATATTAACCACACATTCTATGGAAGAGGCAGACGCTTTGTGTTCTAGAGTTGGAATAATGGTTAATGGCCAACTCAGGTAATTTATTTTTACACAGACTTTTTACATTTTATAGCTTTTTTTAAAAACAATTGATAGATGTTTGGGTTCTACTCAATATTTAAAAAACCTTTATGGCGCTGGATATACATTGGAAATAAAATTAAAGCCTCACGGAGACATGGATGATGTTAAAAGTTTTGTCATTACATCATTTCCAAATGCGATTCCTGAAGAAGAATTTGCAGATCGATTAGTTTTTGGAGTTCCTCAATCTGCAGTTGAATCACTAGCACATTGTTTTTTAAATCTTGAAAATGGTATTTAATTTATAAGTTGTTGTTTTAGTAGAATTTCATAAATCACTATACTCGAAACTCAAAAAATAAAAGGACTCACCAATAAAAAAATATTTACATTTTATACACATTTGTAAGTTAAGTGCTAGGCATGTGCCCACCCCCGTTTTTTTCATGAACATTGGTGTCATCATAAAGTAACATGTGATAGTATTCTAGTTCAGCAAAAACTAGAGAAAAAAATGAAGTGCTCCCCACACAAAAAAAAGTATAAACATATAATTCTGACTATGGCACTGTGTAGGTTATGTATTACACATATATTAGATTAGAGTTAAAGTAAAAAGCGGTTCCTCCATCAGTCCGTGGTTAAGAAAAGCGGGCAAGTATAGATAACCACTCATGTTGTAAATGTTTATTATATTTTAGTAAGTATTATTGATATTATAATAATTTATGTTACTATTAGTAACTTGAATCATTATTTCATTAAAATATTTTCAATTTTAAATTAACGTAAAAAAATATTAGTTTAGAACAAAAAAATTATCCGCAATAAATCGCCTTTGTTTTATTTTCGTATCTAATAAGTACATTGATTTGTAATACAATTTCCTGTAAATTTTGTACAGTAATATAATTGATAGCGAACTCACCAGAAACTCACAAAACAATATATTAATTAGTTGAACCTAGTAGGCGTGTACCTATAGTACCTTATTCATCTACTTTAAACCATTACTTATTAGATATATTAACATTACTTTTGATTTTACAGCAAAAACTATGTACGACATTCAAGAGTATAGCTTCAGCCAAACAACTTTAGAACAAGTATATTTGAAATTCGCACATTATGAAGATAGAGAAGTATTTGAAAACGTTACAGAGTAAATTAAATTATTCAACTACATTTTTATCAAAACACGTATAGGTACTTAAATTTAAGATTTAACTATTTAGATCGAAACGTTCTTGTGTGATATAGTATTATATTATGTATTATAAACTAAAAATATTTTAGCTGAAGTATTTATAAATTTTGAATACTTCAGCTTTTAATCACGCGTTTCGAATTATGAATTATTATTACTATTATGAATAATTGTATTAATATATATACCTATTTAATATTTATAACAAAACTAAATTGGTAAAAATAAAAATGAATATAATTTTGATAGAAAATATGATGGAAATGATTATACAATGATATGTGTGTTTTTATGTATAGATTATAGGTATATAACATAATATTTATATGGTATTTACTATTTCGCCATTACTGGCATCATTTATAGAGAATAGAGATATCTAATAGAAATATTGTTTTCGCTAGTATTGACAGTATTGTATAAATGATTATTTTTTAGATTATTAAATATTTTACTATTGTCTTTAGTATACAAATATTAATCAGACGTGGATCCAAAACTAAAATTAGGTGAGGTCATCTTTTCGTAAGGACAAAAAGATTATAATACACAATTTAAAAAAATGAAAGTAAATTGTTAAATATGTATCTATTCATTTTCATATAAATATAAAAAAGGACTTAATCACGTTTCTCCCTGGGTCGGGGCTGATATTAGTTATATAATATTTGCTAGCTATGTTGTTTCAATATAAACTATAATCAATTCATCTAGCAAACAACTTAAGTTGCATCAATAACTTTTTAATGTATTTACCATTTTATTGATTTTTTAACTATTTTACTAGTGCCAATTTGAACATAATATTTAATTTAACATAGTTTCTGCTGTGATTACTAATAGTAATACCTAACTGATAAGTGTTAAATATTTAATTTTAAACGCATACATTCAATGTTAATCACTATTTATTTGGTATATTTGTCTGACGCATAAGGACATAATTAGTGGGAGAATTGTAGGCGGTAGGAAGGGGGCCTGAAGCCCTCAGAATTGTTTAAAATTCACTCAGATGGGTTACTCTTTTGAGTAAATGTGTATACATGATATATTGATATTGCTAAAATATTCAAATCTCAATTTAAAAATTGCAAACAATAAATTGTATTTTTAATAAAATAGTATTTTGTATATGGCAATAGCAGAAATTGATTTCCCGCTTGAGTCACACGTCATACACTTATACTATTTTTTGTCACGCCTTCATAAATCACGTAAAAGGTAATGGAGGGTTCTATACAACAACCAGACTATACCACAAAAACAATTTTATGAAAGAAAAATATTTACGCGTCTTGCAAGGAGATTATAATTATATGAATATAAGATGTAACTAAAATGTTGTGTCTTGTATTCTTGTAAGGACCGTGGTATAGATTTCAGTGCCTGGTTGTGCAAGGAATACGCCCAGCACTTTTTGGGATTTCCGCTTCATCGCTCGGCGCCGGCGCTTCGGGGATTCCCACTTAACCGCCTGCTGGACGGAAAAAGGTCGCTTTCCAACGCTTCAACCGTCATCGAAAACTAAACCTTTTTAGGCGTAACAAAAACATCACTACATCATAACGTAATTTTGTGCTCACGAAATACGTTAATATATTAACTTTATATCCATTAATTCTAAAACACTAGTTTACTTTTACATTATTCACAAATCGCAAATACTATAACTTAATTACTATATTCTTTTATAATTTTTATAATTATACATATATACTTAATTACTTATATTATGTAGACTCATACGCAGTACGTCTCTAATCGGAAGTCGGCACTCGGCGGAACCCAGTACGGAAATATTCATTGATATTTAATAACTAATAACTAGATATATTAAAATAATCACTATTGATTAATCCATATTATTATAGTTATCACCTATATATGAATATATTTTTATTTTAATGATTTAATTGTTTTTGAATTTTATGAGAAAAAACGTAATATTATTAAAATAATGGATATTTTTCAATGAATAATAATTATACATAAAAAATAACTTTCAAATCTTATTAATATTGTTATTATTATAATCTACGATTTTATTCTACGTCTACGGATTTTAGATTATGTTTATATATTATTATTTATTACATATATATAATAAAGTTCGTGACCCGAAATTATTATCATTGATATAATATAGTTTTATGTTTTAACATTAACAATGATACAAACGAAAGCCGTTATATTCAAACTTTAAAGTTTAAATTAGCCGTTGTTGGCACCCGCGTATAGCTGATATTGTAGGGTAATAATTGGGTCGTAACTCTTAGGCATCTCTCATCTCTAATCTTCATGCTCTTAGGTATTAATAATAAATAATAATATAATAATAAATATTATAATAGTACCATGTGGTCTATGGGTACTATTAAACGACCGTTAGTCCGCGCGACAGTCGCTGCTCGAAGCTCGTTAGCCGTTAATTTAATACCATAAAAAGTAATAATACACTAATGAGTACCTAATCGTAATGGCTTATTACTATTATATTATTTAATATTTATCGATTATCGAATATTCATAAACTTATAGCTCATAAGTGATTAGTGAAAATGTATAGTTTATTGGTAGAAAGTAACAACTACTAACTAGCTAATACCAACTATCAAATGCAGTGGACTATTTCAACCACTGAACTGAATTTAGCTCAGTAATTCCGACTCTTCTGAAACGATTTCGATAGATCGCTTTTGATCACTGTGCCGTAACTGTAAAATATATATATTACTGAACAATATGGAGGAACATTGCAAATCCCTAGCTTTGCAATACGATTTGTTCGTCAACAGCACACTCAAGTATTTGGACACGGCGACCGAGAGAGGTGAGTTGTTTAGGTACTTACATAATTTGGAATAAGGAGTAAATAATATCTAATTATAAATTACGAATTTGAAGCAAATTTTCGATTCTTCTCGACAACAGGCGAAAAGCAGTTGAAATCTTTCCACGTAATGTGTGCCTTTTGTATAATACTGTTATGTATAGCTGCAATCGCGCACAATTTTTGGTAGATAGGTACATATGAAAGTTCTATATTTTTCATACTAAACTCATAGTTATAATGTTCCATAACTTTCTTATACCTATGACGTGGCTATGTATAACTTTAATTATTAGAGTAAAACAATTATGAATGTTCCAGAAGATGTCAACACTGTAACAGTGTACCTATAATTTAATTTACTTTGTTAATGTACTTTCATTTTTGGGAGTCTTGTTTTAAAACTTAAAGCCCTTTTTAAATCTTTTATTGTAGCTAAACCTTAGATAATGAGCATCTATAATTTTTATAAAAAGCTAGAGGAAAAAATTACCTCTTAAATTGTAATCCAGAATCTGTCTTATTTATAATATTTAAAAAATGGTGCAACTTGAAACTTTTGAATTTCTCTTTAAATTGTAACTTTTATCAATTTTACAAATAACCTTCAGTTAATGAGTTTAAAACTGTCAATTAATAAATGTTTATTGATTAAATACTTGTTTGTATAGGTACCTATATTATTTAGAAAATATTTTTAATTTAAAAAAGAATATTTTACTTTGATAATTAAAAATTAAATAAGACTAATTGGTATCCATATCATTATTCATATTAATTTGTTATTAATTTATTAATTTTTGTAATTCAAGCCCCAAAGTCAATTTTACAAGGTGAATATAGAGTAATAACTTAAATTTAATCATAACAGTTATAATATTTGAAACTATTGATGAATTATTTTTATAGATTATATGCTAAAATTAAAAGTCATCGATCAATTTACATACAGAATCAATCAAAGCGAATCTGATAAAGATATTATCAAGAGAAACCTAGAAGCAGTTCAGGATGAATGTTCTAAATTGACTTATAAACTTAAAACTTCTGCACGTTTATTAGATGAAGTTCAAGTAGAAAGAGAAAAACTTGTATTTGAAAAAGAAACCATGGTAAAATATACATAATTTTTTATTTTTTTTTAAATTTTATATGGTAGGCTATATTGTTTTTTTTCATATAGCCAACGAAGGAAAGTAGAGTGGAAGTTTTTGTAAATAAATATAATTTTTATTGTTACACAAATGTTATACATTTTGATATCATTTTTTTTTTTTAGAAATCTCAATTAGAACAATTATACAGTGTTCTTAAGAAACAAGATAATGTAGAAAAATCACATAATTCACTCCTAAATCATACTGATAGTGTACTATTGGATGAAAAAAAAACTTTTAATAATACTGGTAAATTAGGATTTATTTAGTAGTTTTTTTTTAATCTTATTAGCTTTAACCAAGCAGTACTATAGCTTGGCAATTATTATTTAGTAGGTAATTTTTAAAAAGAAGCAATTATCTTTATAGTAGTGTTAGAAATTAAAAATTATCCACTAATTTATAAATTTGTTGTCTACATCTTACAGACATATAACATAGCACATTGTACGTTCTGAATAATTAATTTAACTATATTGTGTTTATATTAGAGTGAATTAACCAGTTATAAAATGTAGAAATTTTAAATTTTAAAATGTACTCACAATTTACAATTATTACGATCATAATTCGCCTTAAAATTAAAATATGATAAAAACACCAGATTCTCTTGATAATATTTTTACTTTTAAAATAAATAATAAGTCAATTCACTCTAATACTAAATAAAACAGAGTTAAATAGATTATTTAGAATGTACAATTTTGTGTGCTAAGCGTTTCTAATATGGAGAAAAACCATGCAGGTCTTTTAACATATTTTAATATTTTGATTTGTGTATTACTTTACCTAGTTAAAATACTATTAAATATAATATAATATATCTACTGTTAATTTGCTGACTCAATTTTATTTAATTCATTACAATATATCTATATTTTTTAGGTGCTTTGTTATCAGATATTAGTTATAGTCAATCTGAAGATAGTTCATATGAACAATTATTGAAAAAGCAAAATTCTGCACTCATAAAAAAGCATTCTACACGCAATATTCTCAATAACTCAAACACAAAAATATGTGAGGTAATTATCTATGTAGGTGTATTTTTTTAATGAGTTCCTGTTAACAGTGAAAACCTAGTTGCAATTTCATTTTATTTGCATTTTAACAATTTTTATTTGGTTGCCAACATATATAGTTTAAACTATAACATATACTAGATGTTTTTCTAATGTTGTTGAAAAAATTAATATTATGTTGTAGATTAAAAACGTGAATACTACTAATAAACAAATTATTGCTACAACTATTTTAACTATGGACTCTGGTAGTGTAAATGCTAAATCTGTTATAAAAACTTATCCAACACAAACTTCAAAAGGAACATTAATATCGTCATCAAGTGGTAACTATTTAATTTGTTCTTAAACGGTGTATAATAAAGGTAAATAACTACATATTTGTATATAGATTCTACAGAGCCATTGTCTACCAGTGATTCTGAAATGGAAAATAATATAATTGAAAAAAAACATAATTTTATTCAAAAAATTATTGTCGTTCCAGAAATGTGTGGTCACTGTACTAAAAAGTTTGTTTAACTAATCTCTACTACATTCATAATTAATCAGTATAATAATAATTAATTTTTATTTAACACTACAATTAAACAATTGTTTTCAGAATAAAGTTTAACAATTACATGGTTAAATGTTTGGACTGTAAAATTATAACTCATCTGGAATGTAAAGATTTTATACCTACTCTATGTACAATTGATCAACTAAAAATCAATGCTTTAAATGTCAGTAATTTACTATTCTTATCATTATTTTTTTATTATATTTAATTATTTTTACTGGCAGTGTGGTGTCCCACCTTTCATTGTTCACTGCATTAGCGAAATCGAAAGAAGAGGATTGGATACTGTTGGATTATACAGAGTGTCTGGTTCAGATAAAGAAGTGAAAAGCTTAAGAGACAAATTTCGTAAAGGTTTACCGAATTTAAACGATGTAGACATTCATGTGTTATGTAGTTATCTGAAGGACTTAATTCGTATGCAAGAAAATAATCTTATATCTCCAAGTGATTTATCAAAGTTGACTGATGCATTAAAAAATAAAAATGATGTTTCAAAATCACTTTGTCAAGTCGTATCTGAATTGCCACATACCAATCGTAATATACTTGCATTCCTCATTCTTCATTTGCAAAAGTAAATTTTTATAGCTAATAATAAATGCTTATTTTTTCAAAAATAATCTAATTTCTCATTTTTTTTTAAGGGTTGCTCTTTCGTCAAAATGCAATATGGATTATAAATGTCTAGCAATTGTTTTTGGACCTACAATTGTTGGTGTTAAGAGTACTTCCTTAGATGAATTATATACTAAATCTGAAATTGTTTTTGAAGTAAGTGACCAAGACACAAAGTATATCACTAATATTTTTTAATTTTAAATATTGACAAATAATTGTAAGAAAATCAAATATTATAATATATGATGGATATTATTTCATTAGGTTGTAAGAGAACTGCTTATGCTGCCTTATGATTTTTGGCTTAGTTCTTTGAAAACTAAAAGCATTTCTTCTGATGAACCCTTATACAGTACTCCAAACAAAAATCAACCGCAAACACCAGGATCATCTAAACGTTTTTTTTCTTCTGGGTAAATAGACAATTAAAAAGTTATTATTTATTTTATTATTTCATTTTATTTTTGGACAGACTAAAAAGACGGATATTAGACTCACCAAAAAAAAATAAAATTGCCAAGCAAAATAAATTTTGAATCAAGTATTGCATTAAAAAAATAGTTCAAACATATTAATGTTTAAGTATATGAGATTTGAATTAATTTAAATATTTTATTTTAAGAACTTGACTTAAACACTAAACAGTTAATTTTTATATAATTTTTATTTTACAAATTGTTATTTGTACTCCTTTATCTGAGTAATTAATTTTTTTTTTTTAATTGATAAACATGAACTGATGTGTTAATTTAATTAAATAATACTATCTAGTTCTTGTCAAAGTATATTGTGAATCATGTTGTTTTAACAAAAAATTGTATTCCTTTACTTAGATAATAATTTCTTGTACTTTTTCTTATTTTGATAAAAGTGAATTGCTGTATTTTTTAAATTAAATACTATTTAGTTTCTGTGCAAGAATTTTTTTGATTCATATTGTTTTAACAATTATTTATAGTACCAGAGTTAATGTTATCTATTTGTTAAATTGTCAAATAAATATGATCTGATTTAATTAACAGTTTGAATTATTTTTACATTGGTGTTTTGTATTTTTTTTATTGTAATTTTATATGAATATTTGTGTTGGTTTGAAATAGATTTTTGATAAGTATTTTTCAAATGGTGTACAGTCGTACAAAGCTGCAAAACTTGAAATTTTAGTATTTGTTTTTTTTTTTCCGTTTGAACCGACAGCAGAGGAGGATCTGTGTGAACACTACTACTCCTCAAACTTTTAGTATTACTATAAGGCCTTAAGTCTACTTTAAAATTTCAAAACACAGAATTTGAATAAATTCAGTAAGGAAAGAAAAAATGGTTGAACCTGGAACCCTTCGCAAGATTATTTAAGTATTAGCATTGCGTATAGATATATAGTATCTATTATAGTATTCATTTGAACAATATTATTCAACATTTAATAATGATTCTGTTTTGGTGTCAGTGAATAATATATATTTTTTTTTTTCTGTTAGAACCGACAGCAGAGGAGGATCTGTGTGAACACTACTACTCCTCTGCTGCCATCGTTTATTAATGTTTAATAGGAACGTTAATACATGCACATCTTCACTTTAAAAATAAACATTAGTACAATAGATACAATACAGTGCAATACAATGCAATACAATAAGTGAATAATATATTTACAATTTAATCTTTTACAGAAAGTAAATATGTATCTATATTATTTTTACATAACCATTCTTACATTTTTTAATGAATTTCAAAATTGTAAATTTTTTTTTATACATTGAAGATTTAATCTAATGATAGTTTTCAATTATCAAATGCTTGTAAAGTTGAACATATTTTATAATGTCCATTAATTATGTAGGTAGACCATAAGAAAAACATTGTACATACAATTGCATAGTGATAAAACTGTATTATATAAACTGATATAATTAGTTAAAATGGAAAAAAAACATGTTGAATATCAAAAAAATGTATCAATATATTTTTAATATATATATATAAGTTAAATTGATTCAGTATAACATATTAAAATAATTTAATTTAATTTATTTGATTTTACGGAATGTGAAATTAATCCTAATATTTTTTGCTTTTTTTTCTTTGGGAATTGAGTGAAACCATTATCTATTTGTAGGCTGATTCATCATCAAAAGACTGCCATCATGTAAATCTAATTTTATAGGTTCTACTTGTCTTATCTTCTTCCGTGCATCGGTATGTTTAAACACAAATTTCCTTGTCTGTCCCAATGATACAGATGCAATGGGTATTGTTTTGTCCAATTCTACTTCTTCATCCCTGTGTTCACCCATATGATCCTCTCCATTTTTATACCTTAAAATGTTGGGAATAAGAATTAATCCAACAGGTTGATAGCCTGTAATACTGTCTAATTTGCTGAACCATTCATCAGCAAATTAGACTAACCCATAAGACTATTACATTCACCTATATTATTTACCTGTTGACCAGAACAAAATTGTAATCGACTCCGCGGATGGTGCAAATTTTCATCTTCAGATCATACAGCGGTTGAGGCCATTGTTGAGCTGGTACAACCGTATTAGAGAATTTATACGATACACCTGGGTCGCCGAACGCAACCTGCTGCCTGGGTATGGGATAATACTGTCCGAAGACTTTAACCTGCGAAAGTCGACCGTCAAAATAACTCACATTGTTCTCCATGTAATTCAGGAGAATGGCGCTCTCAGCCGCTGTCAAAAATCTCTCACAATAATCCAAATCTAAGTTTTCAGCAATGATTTTTCTCCACCGCGGTAACTGTTGTGCGTTTTTCATTAGTTCTTCGAAGACAGTAACCGCCATGGTCTTCAATATTTGAATGATGATTAATCGATTGATTATAATCGGCGGGGAGTCCGTCAATATTAGAATACAACATTTCGATTTTTGTCCTGTAGATTACTAGTCTCTTATGAATTTCAAAAACATTTTATCAGGGAGTAGAGACAAGAGTGTTGTCAAAAAACCCGGTAAACTGTCAGGTGTTTTTGTTTTTTGTGATAAAGAATAAAGATCTAAAATGATAAGTGATAATATGAGTTGGATAAAATGTATTGTTTTTGAAAATGTAATAAATAATAATTACAAATAATGATGAATTGTGGTTCATTATTATTATTTATTACATTAATATATTAGCGATTAGGTATATTAAAATGAATTCGTTAACACTCATGAAAATAATTTAACTCGTGGCGTTATTATTGCGTTTAAACTAAACATAATTGTGCACCAAATGGCGAATGCTGTGAATTTTTTATTTTCACATGAATAGTAATCGATGGCGCATTCGAATAAAATTAAAGCTCTGCTATCTGATTTGGGCAGATCAACTAAAAGAGGTGTAAAAAAATGTCCATCGTGTGGAACATACAATGGAACAAGAACTGTGATGTGCAAGACATGTTATCTGACATTAAAACCAAACAATAAAAGAGTTTCACCTTCTGAAGTGTGTCGTCTACTTACACCTTCTTCGTCACGGGTATATTAACCACTATTTTGACCCCTATTGAACTAAAAACATTATAGTGTTTTAAGTTTCAGATTTTTTCTTACATATCTTCTGAAAATATTGATTTTGACGAAAGAGGATTCATCCACTTTCCAGATACCAAAAACAAAGAAATTAACAAAATGGATACTGGAATTTGTTTAGTCCGTTCTTGTGGTGGTCGTTTATTGGATAATAATATTCTGAAGTGTCATGTAAGTTTAATTATTGTGTTATAAATTATAATAGTTGTTAACCATCATATATATTTTATTTAATATTACCTTTACAAATTATTGATGCATCTAAATTTTATATTTTTTTAGTATTTCATTAATATTGAGTAACACATATTTTTAAATATCATTAAGGTTACAATGTTTATGAGCTTAAAAACTAAAAAATATATATTTTGCCCTTGAAACAATTAAATACCAATGGTATTATATAACTAATTAATACATTGCTTTATTCATTATTTATTCAACATATACTATACATTTTTAGAATTTATTTTTTTTAGATATTATAGCATTATTAATATAGACATAGAACACATTTCATATTTGAGTAAGCTGTAATACTAATAATAATACCTTCCAGTGGGTATGCTTAGCATGTCTGACACACAAATAAAATAGATTATCTTAAATGTTTTAAAATGCTGTTAAAAATAAAAGAAGATGTGACATGCTATATATAATTGAATATAACTGCTATTTCATACCCCATAGGTACCACTATAAAAACAAGATTTATAATTTAGTTTGAAATGTATAAAACTAAAAAAAAATATGTAAAAATCACAAGCATCCCAACCTTACTTATACCATAACATAATGAAATATAACTTAGCTAATTGTGCTTGTTGCTTAGTTATAAATTCTAAAGTATATAAAATAATTCTTCTTGATGTATTCTTAACTAATAAATCATACTTAAATACTTTAAAAAACTGCATTAAATCTTTGTAATGTTGTCCCATTACTTTGATAACTAATTCGATTCAATAGTTTAACAATATTAACAATATTTATTTTTCATTATTATTATTCTTATACTTTATTTTTAGTATTTAAAATATATTATGAATACAAAAACTAGAATTATTCCCAACAAAAAAACCAAAAGTTATAAATTATTAAATAGTTTAATATACTAATATTATTTGTTTTAGGAAACCGCCTTAAACACTAGTATTCAAAGTGAATCTTGCAAACATATAAATACTTGTTTTGATTGTAATACAATTGGTGTATCACTGAAAATCGACCAACAAGTTTTAGAATCTTTTAGAGTTCCTCAAAATGTAAAACAAGTATGTTGCTTTATTTATACAGTAGCAGATCTTGGATCTCTATGAGGGGAAGAGGGGTTAAACGGTGGTCAGATATGTTTCTTCTAATATCAGAGGAGTAGTTTTACAGAATATAATTATCAGAATAAAAACAAAAACTGGTGAAAGAGATTCTATTCAAAATGAATTACACGTTTCTATTCACCACTAGTAAATCATAATATATAAATAGCAACTACAGAATTAAAATTATGAAAGACTTAACTTATACGTAAGATTTGGGGCTTCTCGCATTTGTATGTTTTTTTGTGATAGTTGTTGAGTATTCTAGGTAAGGTATAAATTTGTCTTGCGGAATTAAATTCAAAGTTTGACTTATTTTTATGTTGAGTTTTATTTATTTAAAAATATATATTTGACAAATTAAAGCGTTTTTTAAAAAATATTATTGTCAGATCATACTGTTTTCTTTTGTTCTTTATTTTTGAAGAATATTTCAATATTTGCATTTTTAGTATATTTAAATTGCTTATTTCTTACAATTTTAGTTCAAACACTAATAATATATTATATTTATTTATTTCAACTTTTTTTTTATAATTATTATCAAATAAACAGAAAAATTATTTTCATATTTAGAGGATTTTTTGCTAATTTTAATTGTATACTCACATGAGTATTTTGAAAATGTTTGGATCCTAAACCCTACTTATAAGACTTAAATCAGAACTCAAAATGCCAAAACCACAATTAGTGTAATGAAAATATTTAATTCAAATTTTCTGTAGATAACTATTATTAACAGCCTACCAAATAAGATTTATTGAGGTTACACCAAACATTTCGATTCTATACCCGAATGTATAGTCTCTGGCTTACAATTTTAAAACAGCAAAAACTGTTTTTCACTGGTAAGAACCACTTAGGTAGTGGTTCAAGCTAAGAAACCAAATTTCCACACTATAAAGAAGAGAACATTGACTGTGACAATATTGTTTTTCATTTTTTGATATCACAAATACAAAAAAGTTTTTGTTTAAAAATTCATTTCTTTTGAGTTTTTCAAGCTTGAATAACTTTTTTTTTAATAAAAACAAAGTTAGACACAAAGTGTTCTCCTCTTAATAGTGTCAAAATTTGGTTCCTTGGATTGAACTACAGCCTGAGTGGTTCTTAGTTTCTTACCCGTGAAAAAATATTTTTTGCCATGTCTTGTATTTGTAATGTAGAGCAACGCATGGATGAAGCATCTTCCTAAAGACATTTTATTTTTTTTAATAATATAATGTTTACATATTTAGTATGTACACAAACAATTTTATATCCCCGCTTCCCCTCTATGTGAAAATGCAAGATCTGCCACTTACACCTTGATGATTTCAATGTCTTAAATAATGTTTTCAAGGTCCTTTGAGCTACCTTACCTTAGGTAACTCTTGTAAATTTGTGTAACTTGAACACATTTTATATTATGTGCATGTTTGTTTTTGTATATTCAACAATAAAATGGTAGTTTGTATTATTTTCAATTTATAATTTAGGAAGTATGGACAAATTTTGTTGATAAGAAAAATCCTTATTTACAACGTGTATCAGAAAATATATTTGTAGTCCGATGCAAAATTACCACTCAAAACCCTTTGGGCTATTTGCATTGTATCATTGGAAAATACAATAGATGCTTTTGTTGTACTACTACATTGGTTACAGTTGATCAAATGGTAATATAGTCTTGATAAATTATAATTTATAATCTATATTTTATTCTACTATTTATACCAAACATTATTTTTGATAGGATCAAATACCAGATTTAAATACATACTTCTGTTGTCATTACATTGCATGTTTAAGTGCTATAGCAACTTCTCGATATATGGTTCAGGAGTTTGAAAAAAATCTCAACCCTTTTGTATCTATTTCTACGTTGTCTGCAACTATTGTTCAACTTGACAATTTGCCAAGTAAGTCTATCATCATAAAGATAATATTAAGTACCTAGATTTACAGTGAACAATTTTACCACAGAACTTAAAAAATATCGATTGAATTTAATTTAGTATTATTGGAATGTTTGAACATTAGGCTGTTAAAATGTTTGTATTTTATAAGTAAATTACAAATTCAAGTTGTAATACTGGTTATGAAAATAATACTTATTAGGTAAAAATAAGTGGAGTGGATACCGATCTGCTATACACTAGGTTTCCAAGTGGGTAGTTGTAATGCACGGGTCTTTAAAAGAGTGTTTGATTGACAGGTTCAATCTTAAGGAAATATTGGGTGATTATATTAAAATTTGATTAAACCAATTATATTTGATCATCTGCGCAATCATAAAGTTTAAGGCTTAAACACACTTTACGCTTTGTATACAAAGTAAAGTATTTATTAGCAAAGAGAAACATACAATCTTGTGATGTAGAAATAATAAAAGAATATTATTCTGCTGCACGTAATAGTAATGTGAATAATATACCTAAATATTACAATAACAGTGGTCGTTCACCAGGTACATACAATTTTTAATGTAGCCCACTTGTTGGAAAAGGTTGGCAACGCCTACTGTAATGAATGTGTTAAATTTAAATGATTTTGATGAATTTTATCAAAATTTGAACTACAAATTTTCAAACTTTTTGACAAAGCAAAACCTTTTTTACTTTAGTTTACCAAAAAAAAAAAAAAAAACGTTTTTGAAATGTTCATGAATAGTTCAAAAAGAGTGAAAATATTTTGAAAATCTTATATTGTATGGAAAATGATCATATAAACATTTGGTGAAAGTACCTAGTATCTAAGGTCATTTGTTTGATTTACTACAAAACAAAAAAAAAATTTGTCTATAATATTGGTTTTGCATATAATATTTTGAAAATTTTATTTTGTCTGCAAGCCAGAAGGGAATACTTAATTTAATTCTATAGGAAACATCAGAACAACTGCATTTGGTTGGCTATTACCTACTAACATTGGAATTGATCTCACCCACAACTTTTAATCAACGTCGCTATCATAATATTTTTCAAATCAATTGACCATTTATGTACAGTTATTCAGTTTTTCATTAATGGCCAACTAAAAAATTAATAAAACTAGTTGTTAAGGGGAGGAGAAGGAGTTCTACTCCACGGTCCCACTAGGTTCGCCCACACATACAGACCTATTTTAATATGATATACTATTATTGTGTTTTCTTAAGTAAAATTCTAACTTATAGTTATTATCATAACGTATAGTTTGAACTGTTTGAAGTATAAAATAAAAAAAATGATTTAATGTTTGTATTAGATGTCCAGGTTGCAATGGCAGATGAAAGTAATGGACCAGTCACATTTTTTGATGATCAGATGATTATCACTAGTGAAACTTGCGTCCTAGAAAGCATTGCTCCTAAATATCACAGAACAGTTCCAAATATATTATCAAAGGTACCAATTTTAATTCAATTAATTGATTTATATATTTATTATTTTTCATATCTTCAATTTAAACAATTAGACATATCTTAGATTATATACTAATTCATAATTAGTACAACAAATAGCATATTATGTTAGTTCTTATTTTTTTTTTTTTTGGATATAAGAACTTAAAATACATTTCATTTAATTTTTTTACATTTAACTTATATAAAAAATGTATATCCTATTTTTTAGAAACGATCTAAAAAACCTCAAAACAACTCAAGAGTAAAGAAGAAAAGCTGTATGATATTAATGTTCTTTTATTTTAGTGTATTTATATTTAATATTTGAATTTACAAATAATTTTTATGCTTAGGTCACGAAGAACCACAATTCATAAATCCTAACCCGATCTTAAATTTCGAAAAATGGCTGTCTTCAGTTACAGAACGCATTAACCAAGAGATGCATTATCAATTTGATGGTAATCCTCCGACCATGGTGTTTCATATTCATAAGGTTGGTAATTAATTAGTTGATATGACTGATATTGAAGAAGGGATTGAGGGCAAAACTGTCTTACAAAGATAATGATAAAATTAATTTCAAAAGCTTTCTTGTTATATTGAAAATATATATGTAGAAGTTTTGTTTTATAGACGTTTTTTGAATGTTTGCGAGAACGTATGTGTGTGGCTTCTGCAAAAAAACGTTTACCCAATTATACTTTGGTGTTTGTGAAGCGTGACTCATTACCTTTAGGAACATTCACAAAGTATACTTGGCATATTAATAATATATTGCTGGTGAAGAATATTTTTGAAACACCTTTAGTACCGCTCAATATTAGTCGCAGTTTCATCAGAAACATAGATGGTACATACGATGCTTTTGAGCATGAAAGGTATGACTATATTATACCAACTGATAAATCTCATCAACCAATACAACCAAATGATTTTAAGACATTTCTGAAAGTTGGTTAGTACATTATAATAACAATTTTGTGCATTTTTGTAAATGTATGACAATTATTACCTATTTTGGAAAAAAATGTTTAAAGGGTTTTTTGTTTTAAAGGTATTGTCAGTGAGCATCAAAAAGAACCAATACCATTTATTATCGAATGGATTCCTGATGTTCTTCCTATAACCGAGATTGGTGAATTAAGACTGACGTTCAAATATGGACACATGCCTCCTAAAGAAAACACTTCCTAAAATTATATTTTATTTTGCATTTTATTAAATTAATTATAACTGCTGTATTTACAATATTATATCAAATTAGATAAATTTACTATATTATTTATTCATAAAAATTTTTTTTTTTTTATACTAAATTCCATCATAAAATCTATAGAAAACATAACTGAAAGGAAAAAAAACAGTTAACCAACCTTTTCTTACATAGACAAATGGAATTATGATGATATTATCGCAATACGGCTGATAAAGTTAAAATATTTCTGGAAATAAATCGACAAAAAAGTAAAGCAGTTTTACATATCTGTTCCAAAAGCTTGAAATAATAAAAATAAATTTTTGATCGTTCACTTCATATTTGAATGAATTTTTTATTGTTGTATTAACTAAAAATAATGTAGTATTATTTTTATTATTAAAAAACATGACAACCAGTTATTAAATATGTAAAAAATGTATTTATCAGTATATAATGTTTAATGTATAATGAGCTATTTATATAATACAATGTATAAAATTGAATATAAGAAAATGTTAATTAGTTGGGTTTTAAGACCTGAATGTATTCAACATTTAAGTATTTTCAATGCTAAATTTATACATTCAATGTATAATTTACAAATTTCTTAATTTACGCTGATTTTCTAATGATTTTCCGCTTTCCCAAACTTCTTTATCAAATTCATTCTTTCCAGAACATAAAGCAATTAATCTATAAAATAATATAATTAGAAGTAGCAAAACACAACAATCTAAATTTAGGTTAGAAGTTTCAAAACTTACTTTGAAATCATCATAAAACGATGCAAGTCATCAGCAGAAACACTGTGATCAGCTTTTCGCATCTCTACAAAATCATTTTCAATCACCTAAATAAAAAATAAATAAATAATATTTCACAATAACTTAATATTTGATGACTTACCTTTAAAATATCTTGGCCATATGTAAAAGGAAATGTTGAAATTATTGCAATATAGTTTCTCAATTTTTCCAAAAGAGGTACCTGACTGTTTAAGTAGTTAGATACTGAATCCATTGTCTCTACAACGTTAGAACAAGATGGGTCTGGTTTCAGTACAATATCTATATCATACTGAAATGACATATGTTGTTATTAACTATACATTTTAAAACTAATATTAACTAAATATATTACAGGTAGAAGAGATTTTCCAATTGATAATGTCAGTACTGGTATTTGGGTTTCGTAGTCCTGTTCATAATAAGTGAAATCGTACTTCATTTGTTGGTCAGTAATTATATTTTTTAGAGCTCCAAGATTTAGTATTCCTAAGAAAAATCACAACAAATAATTTATAAAATGTGAAGACATACAAACAGTAATATTATAGATAGTTTGTTACAGCAATAATTATTAGAGAACTGAATATGTGACAAATTTTTAGCACTTAAGATATTCCGATTTTATTTCTGTATAAAAATATTCGGCTTCCAAAGACTAAGTGAAGGATTTTTGGATTTTAATTAATAATCGTGGAATTACATTTAAAAACAAATACTTCCTAAACTATAGAAGACATGACAATTTACTTCATTTTCTTAACTTTAAGTTAAATTTGTACATAGAAATAAAATAAGATCAGTTAAAGACCTGACATAGTTATCGCCCAAACAAAAAGTGTACCAATACTAAGTAGTTGCTATAATAAGTACTTTCTGTTGATTTCAAATATATGTGGGCCTAGAAAATTATTATTCTAGTCTAGAATGTAGTTATGATAAAATAATATATCTGTTTAAACATATTGAAATACCTTTATTATTCAAATTTCCTGGCTGTAAGTTTATTTCATCTAAGATCAAATGAGTTCTATCTGATAACTGTAAATTTCCATTCAACAGTCTATTGGAAGTTTAGCATTTTCTGAAACAAAATACAATTTTATAGCATTTTATATCTAATTCATCAATGTGATGTTAAGAAAATTTATTTAAATAGTATATATTTTAGTGAAACACCAGTTGAAAACCACTGAATCACAAAATAATAATTTAAGTAACTAATAGAAGTTCTAGCGATTGACTGATAACAAACACATTTATTATTATCATAGTAACTATCAATAATATTAAAGTGCCTGGTAAGTTTAAAAGCAAGTGATGTAAAAATATTTTTTCAAATTTCTTAATATTTTGTGTAGATAACCTCTACAATAAAATAAATTACCTTGGAATTAAATCTATGTAATTCAAAGCATCTATTTTTATTGGTAAATAATACGATTTTACTACCAAATGACATATCAGTGCGTTTAAATGTTTTGTGTAGTTTTGTCCAATACCATTAGGAATTCCACGAATGTTCAGCGAGAATTTTCCAGGAACTAAATGTTGTTGTCTATTATAACTGTATAAAGATATAGAATATAATAAACACATAAATAATAACAGTAATCGTATGAAAATCAAATGGAAAAATGTTTAAGTATTTCACATTAATTATACATACATGGAAGATACAAGGTAAAATAATAAATAATCAGCAGCTAAAGAGTCTCCCAATAATGCTTGAGTTAATACCAATTTTAGCTCTGCATGAATGTTTGAAGCATCATTCCAGATAGATTGATCTGTATAAATTTATCAGCATTATTAAAATTGTTAACTGATAATCACACAAAAAAATTTCATAAGTTAAACATAAAAACAAAAAATTTAACTTACACAAATCTTCGTTATCTGGAATTAACTTTTTTAGTAGTTTCAATTGAACAGCATGAATACAATGTGTTTCTATGGCTTCTTGAATTGAACGTCGGTCAAGAAATCCTACAACTTCTACAATTTGATTTAGCTTTAATTCACTGATATCAATATCTTCAGGATATATCTAGATATTTAAATGTTTATATTAATAATAATATTATGATGATAAAATGGTTGACAAAACAACAAAACTAATACTTACAAAAATCAAAATTTCCTTTGAGAATTCTTTACCAGCTGGTTCTCGACGCATGCGTTTCCTTATACTTTCTGCTCTAAATCAGTATAATATTATATTTTAATAATAATCTTCATACAAATAATTTTGTAAGCATAAAAAACTCTATCTCACAAAAGAAAGGTACTGTGTCTTGACGTAAACCAGTTAATTTTGCATATTCTCATGCAAGACACGCGTAACAATGGCAGTTATCTAAAATGGTCATGAAACTAAGTAAACACACCTACGTGAACCAATCGTTCAATATTGTATTACGTCAGTAGTAATCGCATTGCGTACAACTTTTTGAATGCCTGGCAGGCGGTTTGTGGCCCACAGTCTACATGTGCGAAATGGTACCTTTCTTTCGTAAGACAGGTTATAGTATTTAATAATTAACAAACAGTTGAACTTCAGGATCCAGGTCTCTGTAAACTTCTTCTTTGGCCCAATCATTCAATCCTGGAATAGGAACACAGGCCAAAATGTGTCGTTCCATCAATGTATCTCCAACGACAACTTCTTCTCCAGGCTTAAAAAATTAATACATTTTGTAAATGAATATAACTCAATCTTTTTTTTGTAAGTAAGTAATTATTCTTACTTGGAGATCTTTAGTACTGGTATGATATTTTGATTGATGCAAAGTAAATTGATCATTTTCAGAATTAACAATTTTAAAATTGCTACAATAGTATTCTGGATTTAACATTTCTTGTATCATTCCTTTAAATCGTACAAAGGTTCCAAGAGCTTGTTTATCATCAAATAATAATAAAGGTACCTAAGGAGTAAAATTGTTTTTATAAGATTTTTGCAATAAAATAAATTTATTAAACATAACTATAGTAAAAGCAGTACAAATAGTAATTAAAACAGCCCCCAAGAAACATTTAAATTTTAAGTTATAAAAAATATTAAGTACAAAGTACTCATTATATATAAAACATTATTAAGAGGATGTCAGAGCACTGTTTGTTTTCTCTCTCTGACTTGCGCGTAACATAGACAAAACACATTTACACAGAATATTTTTTTTTTTTTAAATCACCCATTAAGAAATCGAAAGATAATAATATCATCGTACATCGTTTTCATACATAAACATGCACTTATTTTACAAATCGACAAACAATCAATTTTCATTACCTTCTCCCAATTTCCTGGTTCATTCAGGGTTCTCTTGCATTCCTCTTCATTGCCGTTCCAAATATCAGCAGTCCACGTATCCATAATAATGAGTGTGTTAAGTGGACGAGATGTAATAATATAATAATAATTGTAATAAAGTTAAAGAACAAAAACCGATTTATTAGTGATCGATGAAGTTATAGACAACAGTGGTCTGTGAAGATCAAAACGAAGTAAAATACGGTACATAGGAAACTGCACTACAAAGAAATAAGAATGAAGATGAACGAGAGTGCGAGACAACCAGCGCACCGAAAGTAATTTTACTCAGAAGACTTTTAGGTTGAGTCCAATTCTTTATTGTCAATTTAATATTTTGTTATCAACAAAATGAATGCAATGTGTTATCATTTTAAAGTTTTCCCTCGCTTTTCTTTGTTTATTTCCACGATGTAGATAATCAACATCGTGATCGTTGTTTATCCTAATTCTTGACGTCAGTTGTACCACAGAATAACAGTAGTTACTCCGAGGTAGATTTATAAATCCACCCTGGGTGACACCGTTCTCAAAAAGCCACCTGACAAAATATAACCGCCCGACACATGTCATGGCCTCGGAATACCGACAGTAGCTAATAGGCCATTCGACCAAACATCATTATCATAATCCGACAAAATGTCATTGTACTACCATAGAACAATATAGCACTACACTACTAATCATATATTTGTGCACAATAATGTTAGGTACCTTCACAGATACATATAATAAACTTTTCTAGGTTTATTCTATGTATCTGTAGGTACCTTCCATAGTTTCATAATTATGTCGACAAAAATCATACTTAAATTAATTAATTATCATCAAACTATCAAAGTGAATTAAGTTTCTGGCGGCAAATTTAAAATAGATGCTAGTTATACAATTTTAATATTAAAATTAAAACCACGGGACAATTTTTTAGTTCAAATCCAAAAAATAAAGCAACACGGGTCCTGATAGCTTACATTTTAACTAAAATATTATTCAAAAACTGGGAGGCCAGTCCTCCTATAATTCCGTATGAATAAATAACACACCAAAAACAATTGTTTTGAGTACCAACATAGTATTGTTACATGAGCTGACTGCTGAAGTATCTGCAGGAAATGATATAATGGTTGAAATGTTGAATAGTGGTAGAAGTTTAGAATATTTCAACCAGTTTTCTACTAATTGAGTAAACTATATTTATCATCTTGAATTGTATTCACTAACCTAGATAAAGCTTCTGAAATAAATATAAGCCTAAAATTTAAATATTTACCTAATTGATATTATCAATAAAATTGTCGTTTAAACTAAAAAAATCCGATGTAACCGAACGCATATCACTTTAATATTGTAAATACCTACAATTTAAATTCTCTAGGTTCCTACCTTTAACGAAAGAATATTTCTAAAGTTTTGAATGATTTTTTCGACTGAAAATGATAATTATAAACAAATGTATTACTATTTAGTACTATTTTTTATTTAAATCCAAATTGAGCAGTACACGTCTTGTATCAGTTGATGCCAGAGAGACCAATTGATAGATAGCGTGGATGGTTTACAAAAAATTCCATCACCTTGGGTCTTTGCATTTACGACCTACCTATCTATTTTTATAATTTTACACTCGAATAGTCGGATAGTTAAACTTTTTGGCAGAAAAAAATTTAAATGTCCCATACCACTTCATTACACAAACGTCTATATAAAACGAAAATAATAAGACCTACTATTATTATATAATCTAATTCGTTAGTTATATATTGTGTTGGTAACTAATATAGTAGTAAACAATAATATCTATCATATATATATAGAGATACCTGCTTTAGCATTTTATGTCAGCAAATTATTTGTTTTCTCTCTCTGAACCACAGGAAAGACGCAAGACGCAATCTAGCAAGTTTACGCTTAGTAGATCCATTCTTCTGTTAGCTTTAATTAATAGCGAATTCACCTATAATTAAACTTAAAAATAAGAACATTAGATGTGTTTGATAATTGAATTTTATACAATTTAAACATTTTTGTATAAATTATTAATATTATTAATAATAATTTTTAACCTTAAGTTTGATAGTAGTTTAATTCACTCTATTGGTAAGCCTAAGAGAAAGGCTAACAACACAGAGTTGGTTCTGCGGAACAAAAATTTGCTATGTTACAACATATGAAACAAATAGTGCTCTAACATCTTAAACTAATTAATGGGCAGTAGGTATTTACCTATATACATGAAAGTAAATTCTTGGTAAAAATATATATTTGATAATAAGTATAGTTACTAAGAATAATAGGTATCCACTTAAAAAAATTAAAATACGGTTTTTTTTAATCTTCTACCAAAATATTTTCAAAATTGTATCAAATATAAAATATGAACAGACATCTGTAGAAATACTAAATAGATATAGGTTCTTTAGTATCTACGATGTCTAAGTACTTTTACACACCGAAAATTAAACTGCTGTTTCGCCATACACTCAAAAACTCTTATATGTAAGAAATGAAACTCCCGATTCTAACCATAGCATGAAATTATAATGCAATAATATTACAAAGTAATACGCCAGAAATGTGATTTCAAAAGACAAAACAATTTAAAACGAAATCGAATTGGTC